TGCTGGTGAAACATTAGGAAGCAAAACTTCCAGAACACGGCCACACAGCCCGGAAGACCCACATCAGCCATTTGACAATATTATTGTCAGTGTATTATCTCTGCATTTTTATATTTTGTCATAATGTTTCTCCCGAGTAGCAAGCTTTTCTTTATTACTTGGTTATAGTCACACTCCCTCTGAATTTTTGAGCATATAAAAAGAAAGTCTATTACTACTTCTGTTTTCATTGGGCTGGCCCTGTCTGTTGGTATATGGCTGTACTTACCCTGAAAGACAAAGTCTGCTGCTGTTGGGGTTCCAGACTCAGCCTATGTCTGTCTAGGTGGGCACAGGAAGTATTTAGTCATTAGGAAGGTCCTTTCGCAGCTTACTTTGATGCATCAGCTGTGTCTTCATCGTTACTTGCAAACTATCCCAATTTGGCTGGGATTGTCAGTTTGCAATGAGCATCCTTTCCAGAAATAAAGTCTGTGGGAATCTCAATTTTTTTCAGCAGGCATACCTGCAATCTTTACACCTCGTCAATCCCCATTTCCCTTCATCCTTCTGCATCACCACTATCCTCCTTGCAGACTGAACCAGAAGACCTCTTGCTGTTGCTGGCAGAAACACTAACCAACCCCCTCAGCTAGGCAGAAGGGTCCCAGAGCAACACAAAGGCACAAATCATTCTGGGAAATGCAGGTTCCGTGTCACCACAGGCCTTGGCCAGAGGGGTAGCCATCTCACTGTGCCCTGTGCATGAGTAGCCTGGAAGAGGGCTAAATGGGGCATTTTGGGCTCTTCAGCCAGCTAAGTCTGTTGCATTTCCTGTGGACACCGATGGGAGATGAATCTCTGCTGTCATGTAATGAGTAGTATCATCAATGGAGGTAGAGATGGGACTGGCCAGCATGTTGGCTTGGCCTGGGGTATGGCTGCAAAGGTTGCAAAGAAGTGAAGTCAAGGCCCTTTCTCTAGAACATAGTTCTTTTATTTTCAGGGCTGCTTAGGTGAAGAAGGCAAGGCTAGTTCAAAAGCTTTTTCTTTTCAAATGCTGCTTATTCCTCTAGTCTAAGACTTTCTTTCTATTAAGCAATTTGAGTTTCAAACATTACTCAAAACCTCAAGACAGAGCGTTTTCTTTTCAAAATCTTAATTAAATTCCACATATTCTGCAGACAGCAGAATTCTGCAGAAGCCATCCAGGAAAGGAAGCAAATAATGTATTTTGGGCAACTTGTGCCTTTGGAGCCCAGCTGGTGGGGTTCATGATTGAAAGGGGTATTAAACAGTGTAAGACAAAAGTCAAAGGACAAAAGAATTTAAAACCTTCTCAAGCAGTGATGAATTCTTGGTCAAATCCATCAGGGCAGTAATCTGCAAACATATTCAATTGGGGTTGTTATTGTTGTATTGTTGTTACAGATATGGAGTGTATGCCACTTAGAAGTGGTTTATATCCCTGAGTAATAAATGAATTAATGGTTTCCCTTAATCTAACATGTATAAACATAGACTCCTTGTTTATCTTGGGTTAAGATGTGCAAATGCTGGGTGAGATCATTCATCTCCATGGGGCGAGGTATCATCAGCATACCGATGATATCCAGTTATGTAGCTCTGCTGCTGGCAAATTAAGCAATGCCACTGATGTCTTGTCCCAGTGCCTGGAAGCTGTGGAGGTCTGATGGGGAAAAAACAGGCTTCAGCTGAACCCTGGCAAGACTGAGTGGCTCTGGGGTTTTGGGCCTTCTGGATCTAGGACTTTACCATCTTTGGTACTGGATGGGGTGGCACCGCCCCAGACAGACCCAGTGCACAATCTGGGGGTCCTTCTAGACTCTCAACTCCTGCTCGAGGAGCAGGTGGCAGTCATGGCTGGGAGGGCCTTTGCACAGTTTCGTATTATGCACCAGCTGTACCCCTTTCTGGACCATGAGGCTCTACTTGCTGTTGCTCATGCCT